TAGAGGAGAAGTCATGTACGGTTAACCCTACAGTGTCTTCCATGGCACCAAAGAATAGTATGGGTTCAATAAATACTTGCTGAGCCTCAAAATTAAGATTTCCCACCCTTCTGAGGAAGTCCTACCTTTGGTAGTTAATCTCCTGTCTGTAAACTACCAACTGCACGCCGGCAGCTACCCGGCCACGCCTCCACTGCTAGGCCACGCCCCCCATGGTGTTCCCAGCCAATGAGTCAGTGCACTGTCCTGAGAGATGGGGCATTCCTCTGACCAATGATTGCCTCCATGGCCTCAATGAACTTCCCCTGCACTGGAACATACAGTATGGTCCTCCCCATCCTCTTTACATCTCTTCTCTCTAGGATCAGACTTGCATCACAGTCTGATGAGGTTCTAGACTCCCTCCCATCCCCCCCCCCCTCAATATTCCTTCCCCCAGTAAAATCCTGGCACATTTAATCCTGTCTTGATGTCTGCTTCTGACAGGACTGGAGACTAACATACCCCACTTTTTGCTTTAATAAATAACAGATAACCTTCACTCATTTCTGAAAATTTGTGTGCTCAGTCGCTAGGGCGTGTTCAGCTCTGCGAGCCCATGGACTGTAGTCCACCCAGGCTCCTCTATCCATGGGATTTCCCAGGCAAGAAAACTGGAGTGGGGTGCCATTTCCTTCTCCAAGGGATCTTCCTGACTGAGAGACCAAACCTGCGACTTCTGCATCTCCTGCATTAGCAGGCGGATTCTTTACCGCTGGACCACTGCTGCTGCTAAGTCCCTTCAGTCGTGTCCGACTCTGTGCGACCCCATAGACGGCAGCCCACCAGGCTCCCCCGTCCCTGGGATTCTCCAGACAAGGACACTGGAGTGGGTTGCCATTTCCTTCTCCAATGCATGAAAGTGAAAAGTGAAAGTGAAGTCGCTCAGTCGTGTCTGACTCTTAGTGACCCCATGGACTGCAGCCTACCAGGCTCCTCTGTCCATGAGATTTTCCAGGCAAGAGTACTGGAGGGGGGTGCCATTGCCTTCTCCAGCTGAGCCACTAGTGAGCACTTATTATATGTATGCCACGAATACAGTGGTGAGCAAGAACAGCATTATTGATGCCCTTAAGAAACTGGTGTGAATCAAATAATTACAAAAATTAAAAGCACAGGGGCTATGATGAGATGTAACAGGAAGAACCTGACTTAATCTACGGGCTTGAGAACTGCACTGTGTTTAGTCGCTCAGTTGTGTCTCTTTGCAACCCCATGGACTGTAGCCCACCAGGCTCCTCTGTCCATGAGGATTCTTCAGGCAAGAATCCTGGAATGCGTAGCCATACCCTCCTCCAGGGAATCTTCCCAACCCAAGGATCAAACCCAGTTCTCCCGCATTGCAGGTGGATTCTTTACCGTCTGAACCACCAGGGAAGCCCAGGCTTGAAAGAGAATCCCCTAAAGGCGAATGATTTAAGATGAGACATGATGGATGAAGAAGAGTTAATCAGGCCAAGATGCAGAGCATTTCAGGCTGATGGAATAGAAGGGACAAAGGCTCTGAGGTGGCAGGAAGCTCAACAAACCAAAGGCCACAGTGGCAAGGAATGGAGAACCATGAGACGGGAGAGGAAGGCAGCGCCCATCTCAGAAGGCCTTGTGGGAGATCTGGGAAATTTGGGAAGATTATTTATCTTTCTAGAGTGAAAATTCTTTAAAAGCAAGTAGCCCATATGGGCCCTCATTGCCAGATCTAGTATAACACCTGGCACAAAGTAGATTTCACTAAATGTTTATTGAATCAAAGTAGTAGAAATCAATGAAGAAATATACTGTTTGCATTATTATCCCTAACATCAAGGATGCAGCAAATTCGCCAAAAGCATCAACCAGGAGAGGTTTCTGTGCCCCAGGAGCTGGTAAGACTGATGATAACAATGAGGATGATCCTTCTCAGGCATTGGTCTCATCCCTGTTGCGGCAGAAGCAGAGAGACACCAAAGCAGCAGCCACCAGAGTAGGCAGAAGATCAGGCTGCTTGATCCAAATACTGGCGTTACCACCTCCTCCCTGGGTGACCTTGAGCAACTTACCTAATGTCCACGCATCTCAGGGGCTAAGCAAAGATGATTATACTACTCCACTGGAGTGCTGGTGGGGGGACTGAGAGAAATCACTATGTAAAGCCCATAGAAGGCTACCTGGGGCATAGCATATGTTCAATTAATGATACCAATTATTAAAAATCAAAAGTGTTTCTCTCTGCTGAGATAAGAAAACATTAGCAGGGAGATTTCCCAAATGGGGGGTGAGTTGTCATAAATCATCAGTCATCAGAACTGCGTGGGATCACTTCTGACACAAGAGGCCAGCTTTGAGGACCAGCTGGGTGGGCTGAAGACCCTGGGGCCTGGCCAAGAAACAGGCCCAGACATGCATTTTACTCAAACTCTGAATCCCACACTGATATCTGAATCGAGATCTGAACATCAGACCAGACAGTTCACCACTAACATGTAGGTATATGCCATAAACTCACAGGGCAGGCAGCGCTGGAGAAAGGACACGCTCTTTCAGCAGCTTCCTGTTCTGGAGGGCAGGGGCTGTGCCTTTTGGCTTCATTTCAGAAGAGCAAAAGGCAGCACTAGAGCAGATGCAGCTCAGTTCCTGACTTTCGGGTTTGTTTTCCCACGTTGGACACTGCAGTTAGAGCCCAAGCTTAGAAGAAAATACTGATGGAATCAACAGATGAATGGAGGAAAAATACCTGGCTCCTACCCCAAGCTCGGTGTCCCAGCTGGCTCTGGTTGCCTTGGAATGGGGCAGGGTGGTTGGGATGTAATTGCCTGGGCAGAGATATGAGGTATGCGGGCCTACGTGCGCTGAAGCACACACCACCGGGCCGGGAGTGACTCTATTTAGTGAGTGTCCATCTGATAACAGCCTGAATCCTTAAGATGCCAGCTGCCTGCCAAGCTGGACATGTCCAAACAGTGGCACCCAGAGGTCCAGGAGACAGAACAAAGGACCTGTTATTGGCTAGACCTGTGTTAGCATGTTATCTCCACCAAAACAAGTCTTGAGCCAGACGGGCAGAGAGGCTGTATCCAGGCATTCCAGAGTCCAGAAGGGAGACTATCAAATTCTATAAGGGCTCTCTGATGGCCATTTCAATGTCAATGGTTGAACCTGGGCCATCCCCTTGGGATTTAGCACTTGGGCTTATATCTTCCTAAGATTATTTTTTTCTATGCTGCCCATTGTCACCAACCCCTAGGGTGCTGGCTCTCTTGGTACCCTCTTGTTTAGGGCACAGCCTCCCTCAAGGTCTGAAACCTGCCCTTTCCCCACTTCACTAGGACATAATATTAGTTATGACCAACATATATTTACTGCTTACTACCACTTACTGCTTTACATACATTTTTAATTCATTTATTCACGGCAGCAACCCTATGAAATGTGTACAGCTGTTTCTCCATTTAACTTTCAAGAAAACTAAGGCACAGTGGTAAAATAATTTACCCAAAGTCAAATAACTAGTAAAGCAGCAGAGCAGGGAAGCAAGTTCAGGTTGTTTGGATACAGAAACCCTGCTCCTATCCATTAGGCTGTATTTTCTCTCTCTCCATAATCGATTTCTTACTGATATAAAAATTTTTAAAGGCCTCCCATTTCTAAGCCTGTTTTTCCAGAATGAACTGCAATCCAGTGAAGAGCTAGGATTTTATAACTTCCTATTTTGTGTGTAGGAAAACTGGGGGAAGCTGACAAATTAGGAGCAACTAGGAAGGAAAGCTGAATGGCTCAAGAACTTGAGAGCAGCACTAATATTGAGAACTCTGGTGTTTTAGCCAAGTGAGTACTTGGGCAAAGTATCTCTCTTGGTACAAGCTATGTCTTGGAGCATCTGGTTTAGGAGAGACATAACTTAGCCCAGTCAAGGAAACTGGGTGCCTAGTTAGGAAAAGCAGCTACTAACTCATTTTATAGCACTGCCCCCTCACAGAGACAAAGAGCAGCACATCTAAACTCTGCATTCATATTGGTGAGCCATTCCCAGGAATTCACCCCAGAAGGAACTGCTGGCTGTCATGAAAATGCAGGAAAGGACCAAACACTACTTACTCAGAGCTCCCACTGAGCACTTACTCAGAGCTCCCAGAAAGCCTATGTTCTCCCCCTTGTAAATAAGGATCCCAGGGCCCAGAGACCTTACATTCATGTCCATCACAAGACCTAGGAAATCTAGAACGCAAACCATATCTGATTCCAAAGGAGGGAAGGACTCAGCATCAGTGCCAGCCCAGTTTTCCCAGAAGTCTTCCCTGATTTCTCAGACTCACATCAGTCCCTCTTTCGGGAATACCTGTACTACTTGTGATCTGTGCATCATCTAGTGCTAACCCTGTTTCATACTGGGCTAATTTTGTTAGCCAACCAGGCTATAAATTTTGGGGGATGGGTATAATAACTGGGGGTTCAAGTTTATTTCAAGCTATTTCTGGGTATTTCAGGGCAGGAAAATTAGGAGAGGTAAAGATCTAGAATCACAGCCTGGTGTCCTGAGTAAGGAGAGTCAGTCACTTCAGCCCTAGAAGGTGCACTTTATGAAAAGTGTTAGTCGCTCAGTCATGTCTGACTCTTTGTAACCCCAGGCTCCTCTGTCCATGTGATGTCCCAGGCAAGAATACTGGAGTAGGTAACCATTCCCTTCCCAGGAGATCTTCCCAACCCAGGAATTGAACCTGGGTCTCCCACATTGCAGGCAGATTCTTTACTGTCTGAGCCACCAGGGCACGGCTTTACGAGTCTCTAAAGCATAAGCTGGGAATGGCATTCACGATACTCTTGACCTCCTTTGTCAGTCTCTCTAAAACTCCTAGAAATTAGGTCCAAACTTTGCAAAGCATCCCCCAAAGCAGGCAACTATGAGGGCATTGTCGCTAACTTGGGTTTGGTCCAAGGGGAAAGGAAGCTGCCCTTTTGTCAATAACCCTGCTTCTGCTTTACTCTAGCCCACCCTGCTGCAGGCCCACCTCCTGGTGTGGTGCCCACCAACAGAAGACCCAAGGTCTAACTGCAACCCTTCCTGAACCCACAGCACATCAGACGAGAAATAATGCCACACGGCAGGTGCACTTGGACATGCATGCGTCATTACCAGTCAAAGCCAAGATGTATTTCAGGAAAATTTATAAGGCAGAAAGCACCCTCTAATTAAAAAAAAAAAAAAATGCATGAGGGCTGGGTGTTCCTTTCTTTTCCAAAGCCAAGACACAAAAGTTCTTCTCATATTAAAGAGCCTGAACCCACCCAACCTGATTTTCTCCTCTCATTCAACAAGTACTTCAATGTCAACGACAGTGACCAGGGCATACTGAGTCACATCAGAAAGAGGCCACAAGAGGAAGGTGTCTTCCTGTCCTGCAATAAGTAAACGTCTTCCTGTCCTGCCACTTATCCAGAATATAGGACAGTGAGGGGGCTGACTGCTCCAAAGGCGAGCAGGGCAGAAGGCTCTTCCATGTGCCCTAGGAACCACAAGATCACCTCACATCATGATTTACGACAAAAGCAGAGCTGGGACGGCAGAGCCGGGTCTGAAATAGGGTAGTGAAGACCTCATTACAGGTGCTCCCTGATGCCTCTCAGCTATTTGATCACCCTGTTTTAAAACAGATAATGAGGTTGTCTTATGTTCAGCCCTTTTCTCCCTACTTTCTAGAGGGACAATTCCTCCAGTCAGTCGTTTCATAGAGATATGTAGTGTATTCTCACATATTACAGAGCAATGACTGCCAGCCTCTCCCCTCCTGCTCCTAGGTTAGATGAAGATCTTATATATAGGTGACTCTCTTCGGTGGGACTCACAGATCTGGCTTCACTCCAGCTATGGCTCCCCTCAAAGCCTTATTTGTCACCTGCTTCCCCCACCTGCTCCTGAGGTCCACTGTGAAGAACATCTGCAAGAGTCAGGAGTTCTGTGTGGTAACTCAGGTCTGTCCTGCCACTCCTGCCCTTCCCAACTTCTTTCTACTCTAACTGCAGTCCCCTCTGATTTTGTCTTAACCCTGGTTACTCTTGGTGTTTGCTTCCTCGGGGACGTGTGTGTTCTTGGGTCAAAAAGGGAAAAGGAACTACAGGCAAAGGGGGAGCCCCTTGTCCTCCCCCTCCCTGGCTCTGTCCCCGTCTCCCCAAAGATCACCTGCCATCTCTGTGGGAAGGAACATGACCCTTCAAAACTGCCCTTTAGAGGTCATGGAAAGAACTCAGTGCTTCTCAAATGATCTGAGATGAAAAATTACTTTACTTAATTTTTAATAATTTCCAATCCATTATAAATCAAACCACTTGTAAAATAAAAATGAATTACTAAAAAAAGAATTGTAAGTGAAAAGAATATAAAATACAAGTCACACTTTTCTTGTTATTAGATTCAACAGTCCTAACACGAGTCTAGCATTTTGTTATTTAAGTTTCTAAATGCTTGCTCTCAATTTCTTACTTGGTCTCCAGGCCAGCACAGGTTGGAGAAGCCCTGCTCTACCTTAGCTATGTACTTAATCACTTAGAGCCTGGATCTCTTATAAGACGGGAGAACAGGCAACCTCTAGGTAGGTCCCACATCTGCACATTCCAGCAACTCATTCCTGATGCTTCCTTAGGTTTTACAAATATTTCTGACATTAGAATAATGCTGACTTCCTGAGCAGGGGATTAGTCTGCACTTTGTACTGCTGATTGAGAGTTCCCCAAGTCTAAAGCTCCTTGGAGAACAATGAAAGAAATGTCTGAAAGAGGACCAGGCAAACATTGGCAGCTCACTGTCTTGGCCTTTCCTGTGTGGAGCCAATGGGTGTTTTGAAAAGCATCCTGAAAACATGTCAAAGGTCTAAGAACTGTGATCACTGGAGCTGGTGAGTCATGGCCCAGGCTGGCAGTAATTGCAAATGCCAGTGACACAATGGGTGGCTGTCTATTCAAAAACCTGCCCCTGGAACCATGAGGGGGGCATCCCATAAATGACTACAGACAGGAAAAGAGGGTGAGCTTGTCAATTAACTGAGAGGGAAAGGTGGCCCAGTTAAAATAATTTCTCTGCTTCCAGAAAGAGCAAAGAATTCTCAGGATCTACCCTAATAAAGGACGGACTGCACTGCAGGAACAAGATTGGATGTGGTCATCCTTTACTACAAGAAGTTGGTAAGGGAGGTAGGACACAGAGCGGGGGCAGATAGGACATTGTTTCCTAGAGACAATTTCGAAAACAGCTTTATTGGTATCCAATCACTTCACAATACACTTCACATACTTATAGTGCACAATTCGACAAGCTCTAACACACATACAAACATGTGAAACCACCACCAAATTCACAAGAAGTAGCGTACCCATCACTACCCAAAGTTTCTTGATGCCCTTTTTTAATCCCTGCCTCTCACTTCTTCCCACCCCACCGACCAGGTAACACTTTCTGTCACTAAAGACTAGTTTGCATTTTTCTAGAATTTTATATAAATTAAAGCCTACGGGATATACTTATGTTTGATCTGACTTCATTCACGTAGCAAAATTATCTTGAAAAGCAAATCTGAGATTCATTCACGTTTTTCTGTCGATTGTTGTTCATTACTTTTACAGCTAAGTAGTCTTCTAGTTAGAAGTGATCCTACATCTCAAACAACGTTGTCTTGGAACTAAGATTTTGAGGTGTTAAGGAAAGTTTATGAAGATTTAGACCTTCCTTACAGTGGAATTGTGCAGCTCCTATCTTAGGAGATAAACTGTTTTTATCTTAGGAGGTAAACTGTTTTTGCTTCAAAATTAAGGAGAGAACAAAGAAACATCAGCCGATCAAGATTCTTAAATTACAAAGAGGACTGTGCATTATCCAAGGTCTGGGGGCTATGAGGAATAAGGAGAAAGAGACCCAAGAGACCCAAGGACATTGTTCTTACTCAAGATAATGCTCAGACTACCTAACTCTTAATTTTCTATTTGGTGTGTTTCTTGTCTTATGGTAGGAAATGCTCCAAAGGGAATGTTCCCATCACAGTTATGATTTTGAGTTTGGAACTGCTATAAAGGAAGACTACTCTGCAACCACAATTAGAGTTATTGGCTTATTTGTTCATTCATTCACTGGGTTACATGTGTGAGGTGTCATCTGTAGGCTGGGCGTCATGCTGGGGGTACAGAGACACATCAAAGATGTAGAGAAAGACTTGGTTCCTGCTTTCACAGAGTTATAGAGTGTGCAGGCTTCATGGTTGGTTAGTTTTACAATGAACTCCTTCTCAATAAATGGGTATCAGAGATGGCCAACAGGTCAACATGTTGGCAAGGGTCAGGCTGATAGCATCATAGAGACTAGAAACCAGGACTGAAGGTAGATATGATGGCAGAAGCAGAGCTCTGATTCAAACTATCAGAAAGCACAGTGCCCCACTGACAGTGACAGAGAATGCAACCCCGACTCCCCAACATGGGGCAGTGGATGAGACATGGCATGTCTGTCTCTAAAAATTAGCTCTGGAGGTGCACATTGCTGTTTGCACCAAAAAGTAGAGAAACCTATTTTTCTAACTAGATTACAGTGTTCTAACAGATTTCTGTAAAAAGCAGACCAGTACTTACTCGTAATCCTTCTGTAATAAAGTTACACTACAAGAGCACAAGTGGAAAATAGCAGGATACACAACAGAATGAGTCAGATGATGATTACAATAAATCAAACAAGCAACCAAGTCCTTGGAAAGGAAGCATAGTAGAGAAATGTCCAAACAAAATACCAAAATATGTGAAAAAGAAAAACATTTGTTTGTGTCTTCATCAAATTTCCTTTAGTGAGTATTTTGCTATTCAGGTTTTGAAGAATTACTCTGAAACACACTCTTCATGGAAAGTCATGGATTCGCAGCCAAAGGAAACCAAAGTCAACAATCTGAGTTTGTCTGCAGTCTGGGGAGGAACCTGCAACTAAGGAGGGACTTTGGGAAAACCAGTGACAGAGGAAGGGTGAAGCCTTGCAAAGGGGCTTTGCCAACTTGATAAGTTCACCTGAGGTACAGACAGTGACAGAGGGATGCAGATGGAAGTGGGAACTGGAGTCCAGCTGAAGAGCAGTGCAGAACCAGGCCTAGACAGCCTTCGAAGGGCTAGGACCTGGCTAAGGGACCACAAGAAACTTATTTTCTCTGGGCCTCTAGGATCCTTATCTGTAAATGGAAAAACAAGACTGGATGAGCTTTACGGTCTCCTATAACTCTAAATGTGTAGGAATCTGAATTGTCTGATTCATTTCAATGTCTACCACTGAAGACCTTCTATGTATGAAGAACCACAAACATCTCTTCAATTTAACTCACATCAATGCTCACATCAGTAAAAAACAAGTTTTTTTGATTACACATTGATTGGACACCTATTAATAAATGTATAGTGTTGCATATTTTCTAGAAAAAGAGTTCTGCAAAGCAGTCTCTGATTAGAGCAAAGGCTAAGAGAGCAAATCTACCTCTTGTATAATGTGATAATTCATTCTGATTAGAGACATGGGAAAAAGGATTTTGCAGAAGTCATGGAATAGAAATTGACACATATCTCAGCGGGAAGATGCCAAGGCATTGAGCAAAGGCCTGCTGCCCTCATGGTCATTGTTGTGGGAAGAGGTGTCCCATTCTCTCTCCCAGAACCATCTCTACTCCCAGCTGTTGACTGAAGTCAGAAGTAAGCTGCTGTCTGTTGATGAGGAATGTGAGAACAAATGCACAGATGGGTGGAGCAGGAAGCTTGAGGGAAGGTCAGAGAGAAAACAAACGGGGTTTCCTGTGATGAGTCACGGGCTTCTGAGAAATCATTTCAGAGGCCACCACAAAGTCCCCAGCACCTGTCCAGTCCAAGGCTTGCACTTTGTACAGAAGAAAATGTAGCAAATGAAGTACCAAGCCACATCTGACAGCCCACAAGCCACGTGCAGGGAAGAGGCCTGAGAAGGAGTCAGGCTGAGCCAAGGACATGTGACAACTTGCACATTGTCTGCCGGTGTCTCCAAGGCACACTTATGGGTGGGCTGAAGATTCTGGGTTCAACTTCCCCTTTGGGCTGTTGTTTTCTTCAATAGCCATAGCTTGAATTTTCAGATAAAGGTTTTTTTTTTCTTTTTTTTTTCCTATTGTTCTGTGATAAGGTCAATGTAAATCAGAT